GCCCCGGCACGGGGGGGGGGGGGGGGGGGGGGGCAGGAGCTGGTGTTCGTGGGGAGCTGGCTTAAAAGCTATCTCCCCACAAGCCCATACACCTCACCCCGGTGTGTAAATGGGTAACCGCTGAAAATTTCAGCAGTTACACATTTACACAAATAAACATGTTTTAATATCCCTAACAGTTATTATATAAGGGTACGTCTAGACTACATGCCTCTGGCGACAGAGGCGTGTAGATTAGACTACCAGGCATAGGAAAATGAAGTGGCGATTTAAATAATAGTGGCGATTAAATTTACATGGCTGCTGCGCTGAGCCGATCAGCTGTTTGTCGGCTCAGCGCGATAGTCTGGACGTTCCACGGTCGACATCAAAGGCATTTGTCAACCTCCCAGGTATGCCTCATCCCTTCATTTTCCTATGCCTGGTAGTCTAATCTACATGCCTCTGTCGCCAGAGGCATGTAGTCTAGACGTACCCTATGGGAAGAGATATTGCAATGGATGAGAAGAGACTATTAAGGTCACTGTTGGAAACGTAAGTATTTCATGACCCTGTCATGTTAAATGCTCACACTTAAGACTGTTTGCAAATTATTTTGCCCTTGGATTTTGTTTTAAAAAATTATATTTATAACACAGATTTAGAGTAGTGAAACCTCTTAATGATCATCATCAGGACTCAATTTTTATTCAGTTGTTTAAAATAGAAAATAATACAGTGATAACCAAACAGCTTTTGTTTTAAAGTATAAAACAAAATAAAAAGGATAGAGAAGAGAATCATTATTTTAGTCTGTATGATTTGACTATTATATAAAACAGAAAATGTTATCACTGTATTAGAGAGAACTCTATAAATTGCGTAAAACAAAATGGTCAAACCAAGTATTGTGGGGTTTTATTAAAATAAATAATTCTGCCTTAGAAACCATGCCCTTTTAAAGTCAAATGCATTTTATTTTATGTAATAAGTTAAAAAGTAGTTTCACTTCAAAATTATTGCGCCTGGTTGCAACCTGTTTGGTGTCAGTTAAGACTGCCATCACAATTTATAATTTAGCAGCAAGAAGAGTGAGGTGGTTTTCCCCACAAATTCCCAAATTCTTCCTGTGTGAAGTTGCTGGCATTTCATTTTGATCTGGATCTCTGGAATGGGTAATCTCTACAACTTTTTTGTTCTTGTGTTTGTTTTCCTGAGGCATGCAGCTCCAAAATAACTTAATCAGTTTGCTTTAGACTCCATTCAAAAATAGGACTCTAGAACAGCAGCCGTGAATATGGATTTAAGTGTGAGTTAATGGTTGGAGTCCTCAGAGTCCTCAATGAGATACTTGTTAGTTTTTCATAGCTACTGAAATGAATTGTAGCTAATGGAAATTCTTTTCTTATACCATCCTGTCCTACTTGACCTATGGCTGTTCGGCATTTTAAGTGACACCCTTAGTTTGATTAACCCTAGACAAAGGGCAATGCCCAGTGTCAGCAACTTAGGTACATTGGGGATTTTAACAATGAAAATTTAACTACAGGCTTTAGATGCCTTCAGAGTTAGGAAGCAGCCAAGCAAGGGTTTTGAGGATCTCAGTGATGCCTGAATGTTGGATATAAGGGGCAATTAGTCACCTAAATACTTTTGTGGACTGGGACTCTCAATCACCAAACTCCCCCCCATTTCCTCCAAAAAACCCTGAAGTTCTGGAAGTAGAGGGTTGTGGGCTCTTGGACTTAATACAGTATGTTGTAACTGTTGATAGTGGAATCAGTTGGTATTTTTTTAAATGGTCTTTAGAATGGCCCAAGTGTTGGATAGCTGCTAAATGTTTCATCAGTCTGGTATAGTCGCCTCCTGCATCACCGTGACATTCATTAAGTATCAGTGGTGTCTGTGCACCCTGTATCTACATTTTGATATGTTCTTTTGAAACAGATAATTGCAAAGGATTTTAAGCAAAGAATGTAATCCCTCACCTTTGGCTTCTTTTTATATCTTCACTGAAGTTAATGTCACAGCACTTAAGCTACATTCAAGTACCATCACTTTTCTAATAAACACTTGGGAATTGAGCCACCTGATAGTACCTAATCCTAATTTAAACCCAAATAATGTTGCATTCCGTAACTGACTTGCATCCCCCCCTTTCAGTCTTTTCTTTATAAGAAATCAATTTTGCTATTTAAAATTGAAATCCTCCAGCTATGTCACACTGTTAATTGAAATGAAAGGCTTGAAAGGTAAGCGACATGCATCACTTTTTAATAAAATATTGGAAACCCCTACTAATGTTTTATAAAGATGTGATATATGTGTTTAATCCAAATCTCTATTAATATACCACTGCATCTGTGAAAATGAAGACACCTTGCAAGCATTAATAACTTTAATTGGAAGTCTAATAGAGAACAAGAGATTTGTAAGACTCCTATGAATAATATTTTTAAGTCATTGGGTTTTTATTGAATAATAATTTTCTGTCTTTTTTTATTGACAGTCCTGTGGGTTTAAACTAGAAACAAAATGCAAAATAAAATACTGAAATATTTCTCATTGACTCGGAGGGCCATGTTTAGTATGCTGATCATGTTGCTTCGTCCTCTGCTCCCCCATATTGAAATACTCCCAGTGGACAGTTCTTTGTAAATTCTAGCAGTAAATTGATACTACCAAATGGCAAGGACTTGTTCCATGCAGTAGTTCTATCTTAAGGGGGTTGGCTTGTGGAACTTGGAGTAATGATAGTGTTTCAATACCACTCCAAGAAGTAATTTCTTGGAGTAGTGGCTAAGAGCACCCAAGAGTGTCCTTTTCAATAACTTTGCACAGTTAAGCTGGTGCCTTTCACTAGGCAGGTCTAGTAGTGTTATAGGCCATTACACAGCCAGCAGTAGTGGAGCTAAGCATCCAGATATACAGACTTATGTGAGTCAAAAAGAAATAAGTAGAGAGGAGAGGGATATCATAAGTCTTTACAGTGCAGAGAGTGGAATGGATTTTCCTTTACATTAGTATTTTTGTTTGAAGCCTCATTTCACAAGCTGTGTGAAGCTTTGGGCTTGGGTGAGCAATATAGTTTACCAATGTATGGTGTGTAATTTTTGGGCTTGTTTAAAAAACTTTACACATGGGGAGATGTGCAAGAAAATCTAGTATGGGTCTTGCTATTAAAACTGATTGCTAAAGTACCATTGGCATGTATTGGATTTGGAACCTAAAGAGATTTTAGAAGCATACAAACTTCCTTATTCCCTTTGCTTTCCCACACATCAAAGAACATGTGAAGGAGTCCTGTGGCACCTTAGAGACTAACAGATTGTCTCTAAGGTGCCACAGGACTGCTTTTTTATGCAGTTACCCTCTGAAACATTAAGGAACATGTTCACCAGCAGAACAAAGAGCAAGAGGCAGTCCGTCCATCCTTGGGTGCTGGGAGTTTTATGAGATATGACCTAAAATTTGCATGTATGTATTTCTATGTATAACACTACAGGCAGTCCCCGGGTTACATGGATCCGACTTACATCGGATCCCTACTTACAAACGGGGTGAGGCAACCCCGCACTAGCTGCTTCCCCCCAGCAGACCAGGGAGACACGAAGCTAGCGCAGACGCAGAGTGGCTTTTCTCAGCAGACACCTCAGCTTGAAAATAATACCCTGAGGGAAGTGAGGTGTGGGAGAATAAAACTGAGCTCTGGAGAAATGTTTGGCTAGAGTTTCCCCTACAATATGTACCAGTTCCGACTTACATACAAATTCAACTTAAGAACAAACCTACAGTCCCTATCTTGTACGTAACCCGGGGACTGCCTGTACTAATAAGCACCCATTGAGTACTCTGGATCCCTTCACATTATCACATTATCTATATTGAATACATTAGATGCCTTCCACTTCTAATATTAATGCCCCATAATTATAATAATGAATAAAAGGCCATGAAATTATTCCACCACCCCCATCAGTGCTAGGAGAAAAAGGTGGTCTTTGCAGTGTGCCTAGAATGTAAAAATCAGGATCAACGCATGGATTTGTGTGCATTTGCAAAAAACAGCTCTGTAAAATGTGTCACAACATTAGGAAAACCCTTTATGGGTTTCTTCATTTTAGAAAACATTTTGTACAAAATGTACAGTGGCCAAGTAGGGATGATTTTGACATTGTAGAGCATCATAACATTATTGTGATCCATTCAATTGAAGCAAATTAATAATAATAATAATAATAATAATAATGTAGAAAACATAAAAAATATCTCGTGTTGATCATATTAAAATTTAAAAAATCAGTACACAATGGAGATTAATAATCTTTTTTTGCTCTTTAATTTGTTTAATGAAGCACCAGTAAGCAAGTTGCCACATTGTTGGCATTCAATTATTTTTTGAAATATATAGGATAATATTTATTCAGTTGTTTTTGTAGCCTTACCTCCTAAATGTATGTATCTTTTGTTTTTTGCACAGTGCTGGCCCCAAAGGCGATAACATCTACGAATGGAGATCAACTATTTTAGGACCTCCAGGCTCAGTATATGAGGGTGGAGTTTTCTTCCTTGACATCACATTTACACCAGAATATCCCTTCAAGCCTCCAAAGGTAAGAGAGACAGTCTAACATTTTGCTACACAATGATCTATAGAATGTTGGCAGCGTACTCCGTGTTCATGAGATACAGTCAATTTGAAATTGAGATGATTTAAGAAAATGATTTAAACCTGGTTTCAAGCACCTCACCTGGAATCTCTCTCTCAATTTTTATGGGGTTTATTTTTCAGTCACCTCTTTTCTGTGTGTCCTCTTCTGGTTGCAAGTTAAATTTTGGAAGGTTGTTGTATTCTGTGTTGTTGGGTTCTATCACAAATCCAATACTAATGTAAGTAGCTGTTGCTTTGTCATTCACACATTTCGCCAAATACGTTTGGGGGTACTTAGGATGGTTTCTTAAGACAGGAAATTACCTAACAAGGTTGCCTGAGTGTGGTTCCAGGTTTCACTGCATTAGAATTTTCTTGTTGGAGATTATGCTGATAAGGAGACTCCTAAGAGAATGTCAGCTGGAATGCATATGTCCAAAAATGTTTCTTTCAAATTACTTCACCTGAGGCAGAAGCAATGCCAACTGAGATCCTAACAAGCAATAAATGAGAATCCTATACCCTATGGTGCCAGAGGTTTGGTTGCCATTTAATTGATGCTTTTAGCTTGTTTATCTGAAAATGGGAAGAGAGGAAGTCCCATTAGTGTAGATGAATGGATCTGAAGCTGCAGACATGGAAGTTTTTACAAATTAAAGTTCTTTGAAATTCTGACTTTAAAAGTAAGCCACTCAGTGCAAGAAACTTATAAAGAAAGAAACTTTAGAGACTAACAACAATATATAAATAGTATCATGAGTTTTTGTGGGAAAGAAGTTTAAGACAATAGCTAAAGAACCCTTTGTCTAATATTAGTATACATAATGTAAATAATTTGTATGTATGGAGCACATTACATATTCAGAGTTCTGTGTTAACATTAATTCTCAGACTGTTCCTGTGAGAGAGAATTATCCCCATTTTGAAAGTACAGGTTGAACCTCTCTAGGCTGGCACTCTCTGGTCCAGAAACATCCATGGCCCGGCATGATTTTAGAGAGCTAGATGTTCATTTATCATGGGTGTGGCCAAGTATCCCACAGTCCCATAAAGTTTGTTTACAGTCATCAGTCCTGGCTCTCAGTGTTCTGTGCTGTTGTTTAACTCTCATTTACTCCTAACTGTCTTCTCAGAGCCAGTAAGCAGTGGAAGTGTTAGTAATGCTGCTGGACAGTATTGACCTCCTGTGGTTCAGCAAATTCTCTGGTTTGCACTGGTCAGATCCCAAGGGTGCTAGACTAGGGAGGGTCAACCTGTAGCAGAAATTGAAATCCAGAAAGAGTGATTCAGGGTCTGATTAGACAAGTAGGTACCTTCCTGAATCTGGAGTGAATTGCCCCAGGCCACTCAAAGTAACAACCAGTATTAAAATTGAAGAGTTTTTGGCTCGTAGAATCATTCTTCATCTCATTGCTGTTGCTACTCTTCTGCGATATTACACCATACATTTTCCCTGGCTCTCAAGAGTAGCATTACAGTAAGGCTGCATTTTATTTGCATTGAGGTGAAAATAGTAGCTGGGGTTGACCTGATCTTTTCTGTATTAATAATCTCTAACCACTTTCTTCCTCCTCCAGCCCCCATTTCACTTTGCTGGTTATATATATATTATCCTATCCTACCTCTTATCTTTGTGAGTCACGGGACCAGCTGTTTTGTATCTTTTCTAAAGCTACAGCTGTGTTTTACATCATTGCAGTGAGTGAGATGGAGCTCTTTCAGGTAGGATCATTGGGGAGGAGTCAGTTTCATTATAGTTTCTGCTTACTGTTCTATTGGCTTCTGTATTGTCTTAATAGCTCAGTATTTTCCAGATCTGATTTGATTTTGTTAATGGTCTGTTGTTGATTTTTCACCTCTACTCTCCAGCATTTGTAAGAAATCTCTATATATTAAAAAAACCTTTTTAGGACATCACGCATGTGCCTCCATCCCCAGCTCCAAGCCCAGAACAGCCTCTCACCATGCTACCAGCCCTACCAGCTGCAGCCCCTCCGCATGCCACTCCCAGCCCCCTCACTCACACACCTCCTGTCAACAGCCCGCAACCCTCAGTCCCCTCACTCTAACCCATGCTAAGGGTGTCACAAAGGAGACCAGTGTTTCCTCTAAGGTGCATGCCTGTGTGGCCCTGCACAAAAAATTCTAAACCTGTCTACCTCCTTTGCAGAACCACACAGCAGCATTCACCTTCCTGTTGGATCTGGAAGGTGAGTGGCATAGTAGCTCACATGGCAGGCGAGGCTGTAGCCGTGTTGAGGGGTGGCTGCTCCAGCTGCCGCCAGGGATTAGGACAGCATGGCTGGTGGGCGGCAGCTGCCAGCATGGATTTGGATTGAGTGGTTGGCGGGTGGCGGCTGCTGCCAGGGATTGGGGCCACATGACTGGTGCACTGATGATGGGCAGCTGTTTTTTCAAATTGAAATTTGATTTACTCTTTTCCACTTTTATTTCAATTTTGATTAATAAAAGCAGTTTCTCTGGACATGGGGGTATTATGGTTTTGTTTTGTTTTTTTCTTCCTCATGTCCTTACAAGATTCTAATAGATAATACAGAGGATTCCTCCTCTGGTGACTTCCCATCCCCTTCAGGTGTTTTTTTTTTCCTTTCTACCTCATTGAAGGTGCTATCCAATCCCTGCTACTAAACTCTGAGATCCCACATATAAAATGTCTCTAATGTCAAGTTTTCAATTGCTCGTGTTTGTTTATTTGATTGAGAATTAGTTTTGAAATCACTAATATTTTACGGCTCATTTTTTGTTCCTGCATCAGAGGTATATGCTGTCCCTTTTATACCTCTGTGCCATTTTCCTGCCTTGCAGGTACCAGTGTAAGGTGGGGGAAGGTAGCTTCTGCTTGCCTTCCCATGGATGCACAAAATGTGGGCAAATCCTTAACTCCTACCCTCATCCCCAGGGCACCAGCCAGTTCAGCCATGCCAGTGTGTGCTGAGGGAGAGACACTGTACCAGGCATGGGGCTGGTACAGGTACTCAACCCCACAATTGGAGAAAGCTGGGAGGCACATTTTGACTGACTCTGATTCTTCTTCCAGCCTTGTTCTGAGGGTACAGAACAGTGCGCTGTCCCATTCAAGAGGCTTGTGGCAAAGCCATAGTTTAGCCTTGTGAGAGGAAGTAATATTTTTATTCCAGTCCTGTCAGCAATATAGAGACCTCAGTGATCTCCCTGCCTCTGTTTTGCTATTAACTAAGATTTAACGTTCTCATTATTTCATTGTATTTCCCATGTGGACTCCCTATTCTTTCCCCTTCAGAAATTGCTCCACTAAAGTCAGCAGTCAGAGGCATCAGACTATTCTAAATATACTGAAGTGGAGGGGGGCTCTTAATTCTTACAGCTTCCAATTGTTTCCTCGCTTTAAAATTCCACCCACTGTAGTGCAGGACTGAAAGGTGCTGCCTGTGTATTCCATGATTTCTCCTACCACCCCACCTACCCACCCACCCCTACACACCAGGGAGCTCTTGGAGGGAGGGGAACTCTGGAAGCGGGTTGGGGCACAGCTGGGAGGAAAGTGCAGGGGTTCAGCTGAAGAGGCAGAAGTTAGGGGCAAAGGGTGCATTGCACAGCATGGCGGTGCAGGGGTTGGGGAGCCCATGGATGCAGGAACGCTGGGAGCAAGCCTGGGTGGGAGTGAGACTGGGTGCCAGGGTGGGTGTGTGCAGGGTCATGCGCCTTGTTAATTATTCTTTGTTTTAGTATTGTTTCTTCCATAACAATTTAAATTATATAATTTTTTGTTTGCAACTGGTGGGTGTCCCGATGGCACATGTCTGAACAAGCGCACATGAACTCAATACTGGTGTACAAGACAAAACTCACTCCGCTCAGAGGGAACACTGGAGGAAACCAGAGCCCAGACTGGGTCCCTCCTATCCAGCCACATGACTGGAAAATGGGCAAGGAGGCGCCTGGCAGAACTGACCTGAGTGGCCCAGGTCCCCTTTGCCTGGCACCTTGGAGCACCATGACTTGCTCCAGGCAACGCCACTGTTCTTGGTGCTCACGGGCTGCTGGGCCAGCAGGCTCAGGAGCAGTGCAGGGCGAGGCACCCCATGTCCCTAGCCACTTGCCACTCCTTTCTCTGCCGCACCCTGAGCCTAGCGCCAAGCTGCCCTGATGGAACCCACCTGCAGCGTTTGGAGCGGCTGCCAACTTGGCTGAGCATGGTGGGCAGTGCCTGCCTCTGCATGATGGCACCTGGAGACCCCTCCTTACTGCATGGCCCCCCAGCCCTCTTTCCATTCTCCATTTCCTCAGCCCCTCCCCTTCATCCCCTCAGACTTCCATCCTCCCTTCCCAACCTGGCAAGCACCAGGCATTGGGTGAGGCTCCCCATGTCCCATCCTATCCTCTGTTGCACCCCAAGTGGCTGCATCCCAACACCAGCACCGAGACACCCCAGTGGAACCCACTGTCACAGCCCAGCAACCCCTAAGGCGTCACAAAGGGGTGGCCCAGCAGTGTTTGGAGCAGTTGACAACCCGCTGATGCTGCTTCCTTGCTGATTAGGTTGCCTGTTCGTGGGAGGGGGCAGGGTATGCATAGGGAGGGAGGGAGGAAGGGAGATACGGTGTATGTGGGGATGGGTGGTGCAGTAAGAAGGGATGGTGGGAGTGAGGAGGATATATGAATGGAGGCAGGGGGATGGGCAGTGTGCGGGTGCGGAGAGGGAGGGGTTAGGGAAGATGGTGAGTGTAGGGATGGGGGTGTAGGAATGGAGGTGGAGGTAGGGGTGGAAGGAGGTGGAAGGAGGTGGGTGGGCCCTGTGGATCATGGAGCTCCAGACCCCGGCTCTTCATCACCCCCAGGTCAGCAGAGAAAGGGCCAGGAGAGGGGAGAGCCAGGACTGGTGCAGGCTGTGGGGGAGGAGAAGAGCCAGGGCTGGTGCGACCTCAGCCCAGCCCACCCCAGTGGCTGGGGGGAGAGCTGGGG